GCATACAACTTCTTTTCCCTGAGTACCTGTAGGACGTGGGCAAGATGATGAGCATGTTCTTCTCTACTTTTTGAGTAGACTAAGATATCATCGATGAACACGATGAAAAATTGATCCAAGAACTCTCTGAAGATCCTGTTCATTAGATCCATAAAGATGGCCGGGGCGTTGGTCAGCCCAAACGGCATGACCAGGAACTCATAGTGTCCGTACCTGGTTCGGAATGCTGTCTTGGAGATGTCTTCTGCTCTTACCTTTACCTGATGGTAACCTGATCGTAGATCTATTTTAGAAAAGACCCGTGCACCCTGCAACTGATCGAAAAGGTCATCAATCCGGGGAAGAGGATATTTGTTTTTAATTGTTACCTTGTTTATCCTTCGGTAATCAATGCACAGTCTCAACGTTCCATCTCCCTTCCTTGCAAAAGTAACCCCGGCACCCCATGGGGAAATGCTATGTCTAATGAAACCACTGTCTTATAGCTCAGTGATCTGTTTCCTTAGTTCTTCCATCTCGATGCGGCTCATTCGGTAAGGAGCAACCGAGATGGGCTGGGTACCTGGCTGTAAGTCTATGGTGAACTCGACCTCTCTGTCCGCTGGTAGACCGGGCAGTTCATCTAAAAATATGTCTGGAAAGTCTCAGACTACTGGAATCTCTTGGATACAAACTTCTTTCTTGGGTTTTCCTAGTTAGAGAAAATACAAGATTAAGGCACTAGGAATTAAGAAAACTTGCCATTAGGGGAAATCAGTACTGAATAATTTTATTAAGTTGTAAATGGCTTCTCGTTGGGAGGATTAAATACAATCTTTTTGTTAAAGCAGTCTATGGTGGCGTGATACGCCGCTAGCCAATCCATTCCTAGGATTACATCAAAATCCCCCGTGTCTAACCCTATCAGGTCTACCCTCAATTTTCTATCTGCTATCTCCACGGCACATGCCCTGTAGACAACCTCTCCTAGCAATGTCTCCCCCCCAGCGGTAGATACAAGCAATAATGAATCAAGTCTATCAGGTGATACACAAATTTTGGAAGCAAGAACATGTGAAATAAAAGAATGTGATGCACCAGTATCAAACAAAACATGAGCAATGTGGCCAGAGATAGTATACATACCATGTACCATGTCCGGGTCTGCGTCGGCATCCTTCTAGGTAAGGTTGTAAACTCTGCCCTAGATTGGAGGCCTTCTTTGATTCTGGTTCCTAGGGCATTCCCTTGCATAGTGCTGGGCACTGCCGCATATGCGACAGGTGTTGTTGAGGCGGTAGCAGGGTCGGTCCCCGTGATCCCTGCCGCAGTACTGGCAAATCTTCCCACGTGCTGCCCCCGTAGCCTGAGGAGGGGCCTAGATGGCAGGTCTAGGCCTCTTACTGGGTTGGATAGGCATGGTAGGTGCTGGCCTGCGGAGCGGGGCTGAGGGTCGGGAACTTTCCGCTAGCTGAGGGTGGGTGTCGAAGCTCCTTTCTATGATCTGCGCCTTTGCCAGGACTGCTGAATATGTCTCGAGTTCCATCACCAGTAAGTGCTGTCTGATCTCTGGGCGGAGACCCCACTGGAATTTCCTGGCCTTTCAGCCCTCATCCATCAATGTCTTCGAGGCATGTCGGCCTAGCTCCAGAAACTTACGGGCATACTCCGACACTGTCATGTTTCCCTGTACCAATTGAGCAAACTCCATTTCCTTTAGGTGTTGGATGTGTTTAGGGAGATACTCCACGTGGAATGCCGCTAAGAACTGTTCCCAAGTAGCTGGTGTAGGCAGGGTGGTCCGCTTGAGCTCCCACCAGTGTACTGCTTCCCCTACCAGCATGTAGGAGGCAATGGCAGCCCTCTACTCAGGAACTACTCCCAAGGTCTCGAAAGCTCTCTCAGTCTCTGCCAACCAGTATTGGGCCTCTTCAAAAGAGGATCCCCCTGCAAAAGTAGAAGGGTTCAGTCTTCTGTACCTCTCTATGAAGCCGGGGTCGATCAAGGAAGGAGCGGGGTCCCGAGGTAGAGGGACTGGGGCCGGCTGAGGGTGAACTAGGGGACCCTGTGGTGGCACCTACTGATGTGGTGGGGGTACTAGAATGTGTTGTGGCGGTGCCTGGTGGTACCGTGGCTGTGGTACCGGGTCGTACCGCGGCTATGGTGCCGGGTGGTACTGTGGAGGAGCAGGCTCCTGCCGGGGTAGCTCGGGATCAGCCTGCTGTAGCGGGGGCTCAACCTGCGATAGCGGAGGAGGTCCGGGTAACTCCCTTCTCTCCTCTCGCCTTTGCTGGGCAGCTACGAGAGCTTCCACCATCTCAAATAGTCTGTCTAAATCCTCCCGAAGCGAATTATCCTGTGCCGCTCGGTTTAGTGGGGGCCTTCCTGTACTCATTTCCGTGTACCTGCATTCACAAGGAATGGTTGAGTAACGATATATCGGTGAGTATTTCTTTAAGGCGCTATTGTGTAAGGGATGGGTCCGAGGAAACCTGGCTTTGATACCCACTGTAACAGCCCCGAAAATTTAAAATGAAATATGTGTATTAAAAATGTCTAATGCGGAAGCGAAGTCAAAATTTCGATAAACATCTCTTACACTAAAAACAAAAACGTGCTCAAAATATAAAAGATCAAACTAACTAAAAGAGAAATTCGAAAGTAAAAGCTATGAATATGACTATGGAGTCTTTAGGCATCCCTTTCGTCGTCTTCCTGCGGAACAGGCTCGGGAACAATGTCTTCCTGATCTGAAATGATTAAATAAGGAATGAGCTACACTAGCCCAGTAAAGACATCACGATATCTCACCGTCACGGAGGTAAAGGTGGGTAGAAAACACAAAAAGACCAATGGAGCATGATTTACAACAAGTTCTTTTATTAATAATAAAACCTTTACCATCCACTTACCTCGATGAAATTCATAAAACAATATACGAAAGCAATAACATTATCATCATCATGAAATCATATAAACTGTATAACATAATACTTATCACGCCTTTTGTAATTCAATCATTACACAACATATTTTTCCTCATTTACCAGCCTACTAGTATCCATGGGATCCATAGGGGTCCCACTACCCGTTAACCCTTAACACTTGTAATCAGATTCCAGGGCCGTCCCCATACCCATCCGGTATGGGCGCCAAAACTATAAACCTCAACACCCCATCCGTTATGAGGGTGAAACGGGTCGTCCCCATACCGCGTCCGGTATGGGCGCCAAAACACATAAGGTCTCCATACCCCGTCCGGTGTGAGAGACCACAATCCCGGTAGAGTTCCCTACGGACCCGACCCGGTCCACCATCTCCCAGGATATCTAGTCAGGCTGACCACATTATACAATTATCAATCTACATAATCTTTCATTCTCTTTTTCCTCAGTCAGCATCATCAATTCACGTACAAACAAGCAAAATAGTAATTTATGCCAAACAAGACAACATACAACATCGGTTTCTCAGTCATTCAATCCATAATCAATAAAACAGTAAAATATGCACACGAAACTATGAAATGAAAACATCAAACCTCATATTGCATTTAAAACTGTAAAATAGGCCAAATAACAGTTAACCGACAAACACACTAGACTCGGGCTCCATTAGCGACCTTAAGCAATTTCACACATTCGTTGATTCAAGAAATACCGTTTTATCATTATTGAACTTTAATACCGTGATAGGAAATAGGGTGAGGGGTCCTTACTCGTTTCGGGGTCCGAACACGGCTTCACAGTGCGCCTACAGGCTGTCCCTAATTTTCTCTGAATTTTTTCCGGGGAACTGAAACGCACTACCGGTGCCTGCACATGTTCCAAAAACTCCCAAATTAGGCCCAGGACCCCTTTTCGGCCAATATCGCAACTCCGGCACGGCGGCTCCGCCGTGCTCCGGCGACGGCGCCGCCGCTTGCGGCGGCGATTCACCTCGGGTTGGCCGTTTTCGGCCGAATTCGGCCACACTTGCATCGGTCCCTGCGATAAAACAACCCTAGGGCCCTCAGGGGGCCAAAAAATTACGGAAAACCGAAGCTTACCGGCGGCGATGCTCTCGGGTGCGGCGGCTCTCCGGTGAAGTTCGTGTTTTGGTGATTCGGCTCTGATCAACCTGTAGAGAAAAGAATGGTGATTACGGTGATATAAAAATTGCATCAAAGGGAGGCCGGGAAGGGCCTCATCGGAGGCAAAAACCGAGGAGGGGCGTGGCGGCGCCGCTAGGTTTCGGCCGTGTTTTCACGCCGTTTGGCCGGAATTTTAGCTCCGATTTGGCCACAGGGGAAATCAGCGTGGAAAAACGAGTCGGGAGTATGGAATTTACCTCAATTGGCGGTCGAAAATCTCCCCGGTGCGGCGGCAGGTGGCGGCGGCCGGCTCCTCCGGCGTCTGGTTCGTCTTCTCCAGCGAGGGCAGGCGGCTAGGGTTTTTGTGGTCAGGTGTGGGGGTTCTATTTATACATTTTTTCATTTTGATCTCAGTCGTCCATTTTGATTTAATCTGGGCCATCCGTTTTTGATTGAATCTGGACCGTCCGTGCGATTGCATCTGGGCCGTCCGTGCGCACGCTTGATCTGGACTGTCCGATCACGCGTACACGGATCGCCAAGGTGGCCCGTCCCCAGGTCGACGTGGTCTTACCACGTGACAGGTCCTGGTTGGCCAGGACTGCTGACTGAGCCTGCTGATGTGGCGCTTTTTTTTTTAATAAACTAAATAAAAATAATTAATAAAGAAATTACAAAAATACCTAATTATTTGGGCGTTACATAATATATTTTAAATATTTAGAAATGATTAGAGTCATCATAATCATATTTGTACAACTAATATACAATTTAAAACCTTAAATAATTATATGAATTTTAATACAATAAATGTTTTTTTTTTTTTTTTTGGTTTTTGAAAAAATCAAACCAGAATTATGGGCAAATATAAATGGTGATGACTAACCAGAGACTGAGAGCTGCTTTCTCCTTGGGGTCGTCATATACAAGTCAGCAAGATGGAGCGCCAACCATTGCAGATAAGCATACCACACCCACACCCACAACCACAGAAAAGACTTGACGCGTGTCTCCCACACGTATTTTCTCGGAAATTTGTCTAAATTTTCTTCCTGAGCGGAAACATTGATTGGTTGGGGAAGACGAAGATAGGAGGAGACGAAGCAAAATACCAAACAAATCTTCTGTCCCTAGTAACGATTATTGCTCTAGAGAGAGTATTTTTTAGCCTGAAATGTCAACAGCTTCTTTGTGTTCATCCACTCAGATCAATGGCTTCGGCGGAGGTCTTAGGCTGCAAAAGACCAATCTCTATCAACCCGCTTCCTTCACTTTTACGAGGTTTTTCCAATGCTTCTTTTTGTAATTGTATTTATTTGATTTAGTTCTGAGTTTTATAGGTGGAAATTTTTTATATCGTCGCGCCAAAACCTGGATTAGAGAATTACATTTTTGGTAACCCTGAATGGTTGACCTTCCTTGTTCTTTCTTTATCAGAGCTTTAATTTGCTTGATTGCCGTGTTTTAGAGTTTGATCCTGTTTATTTCAATGGAATTATATGGGGTAGGCATGGGTTTATGTTCTGGAAATCTTAATTGGTTAATATACGGCTATTGTGATCAATGATGAAATTTTTCCTTCTTTTTCTCAGTTCTTATTGATTATCAGAATTGTGAGAGAATTGAGCGTATTTGGTTAGTTTGCAGTTTTGGTGCACCATTGAAATCGTATATAAGCTTTAGCTCTTTTGTGCTTCTCTTCAACTGATATTACGGCACCATTCTCTGCCCAATTGTAATTGTGATGGAAGGTTATGAATTTCAGGGTAAGCAAGGTAGAGAAAGGTTTTTGGAAAAACTTTTACCGAAATATGGCTTCTATGCTTGTCTCCAATTAATATGATTGAGTTGTTTTCTTTATTTGGATTACTTAGGCTGGTCTTTCTATGATCTGATTAGTGTCTAGGATCCTATTATCCTCCGAACCATAATAGAGCCCTCGTTATGCAATGTGGTTCTCTTATTTATTTAGCTTCATTTGAACGCTGAACATAGCATGTTTAAAGTGCAAATGTTCATGTGCATGTCCATAAAATATATTTGTTCACATAATTTCGACCACATTTAGTTAGTGTTGCCGTTTCTGATATGCTTCCCTGATATATTGTATAAATTTCAGGAGGAAAATTCACTCTGTAGTAAAGGCAACTTCTCGTGTAGATAAGTTCTCAAAAAATGATATCATAGTCTCTCCATCAATACTCTCTGCTAATTTCGCAAAGTTGGGGGAGCAGGTTCTCTCTGGTCTTTAACTTTTGCTATTCGTCACTTCTGTTATTTTACTGCTATCATGCTGAAAAATTGAGAATTATAGTGGTTTCAACCTATTTAAACTGTATCTGTATCACTTCATAATTTTATTTGTCATTCTAGTCCTTGATAACTTCTTTGGCATACTCATTATAATGTAGTTAGCTTCTCTTCCTTTCCAGATTTTTCTTCTTTTGGTGTTAGAGATTGACTCCCATTTAATATAGGTAAAAGCAGTAGAGTTGGCTGGTTGTGATTGGATTCATGTTGATGTAATGGATGGCCGTTTTGTTCCAAACATTACTATTGGGCCTCTTGTAGTTGATGCCTTGAGGCCGGTCACCAATCTTCCTTTGGATGTGCATCTGGTATTCTTTTTTTTTTTCTTTTCTTTTCTCACGTGTCATATTAATTGAGCCAAAGTTGAATCAGAAGCATATTTTTTACATGAGATCCGATACTGCAGATGATTGTTGAACCTGAACAGCGAGTTCCAGATTTTATCAAGGCCGGAGCTGACATAGTCAGTGTCCACTGTGAGCAGTCAGCCACCATCCATTTGCATCGCACACTTAATCAAGTAACACTCTATGAAAATCTTTATTATTGCGAACTTTTTATAAAGATATCTTCTTTAGACTCCAATATGTTGGATTTTGTTCTTCGATTTCAAAAAATAACATTACCAATGTGATGTAGGAAAATTTAGCATTGGTTTTTGTACTTTGAGTTTGGGGTAAATATAGGGATTCTGGATAGTTTTGAGACAGAAAAATGACTAGGAGTCGCACCTGGGATCCTTTATGCATCATAAATGAGGTGACTATTTCTTAATCATTAGACACTAGAAGTCGATTGCATCACATAATGAAGTTATTGAGAAAACTCTCATGATAATTTGATTAACTCATTGCTTCCTTTAAAAAATGAAGTTAAATTGGTAATTATAGTGCTTAAAGATAAAATCCTAATAAAAAAAATTCTAAAGCTACTGAAGACCTAAAATATTCGAACTCTTTCAATAACTCTTTCAATGAAGTGTGGATTAGCTGGAGACAGAATTCCCACTCTATTTAAAATTTCTAGGTCATATTCGTTCTCCATCACAATGCTTCTGAAAACTCTTTGGTGTTTGAGATGTATTTATTAAATAACAAGTCTTCAGACTTGCTCATGCAGGTTAAATTTTCTGCTTTGATTGGCATGCTTACTTAATTAATACTTGATTGTGATATTAGTTCCATTTTTCATCTGTAATATTCTGCTACCATATAGATAAAAAGCTTAGGAGCTAAGGCTGGAGTCGTGCTAAACCCTGCTACGCCCCTCACTACGATTGAGTATGTCCTTGATGGTGAGTTATTTTTCTTTTTAATTTTTACATTGGTATTTTGCTAATTCCTCTAGACACTAAAGACGGTTGTAGAGGCTGACCTTGTCAACCAAGGCAATCTTAAGGGAGCTAACGAGATTATGCTTCAGGTCTAGCAGAATGCACCTGGCTGCTTGTTGACAGTGGATAGATTAAGTATAGTGTATCTCCAAGTTGCTAAGAAAAGCATGAAGTGTGGGATCTGACCCTTTTTCTCCCCTTCCCCCTATATGTGAGCATCAGTGCTACAGTTAGATAATCAAAGTCAGTTGTTAAAACGAAACTTATAAAGATTGGAAATACATGCAAAATGCTTTATGCGTCTTTTATGCAAGGTGGCAACTTTTCTTTTTCTTGAGTTATTAGACTATTATTTAACAAGGCAATCTGCTGTCCATATCCTAAATTCTTTGATAAGGGGCTTTTCATTGTAGTCATAAACTGAATATGTATATATATATATATATATATATATATATGTTTTATGCATGTATGTAACTATGATGCAAAGAGGAAGGAAGAAACTTGTTCTCTGTTTGGAACAAAATTGATGACATGGGCACTTTTACAATTTTAACAGTGGTTGATCTTGTCTTGATAATGTCGGTCAATCCTGGTTTTGGCGGGCAAGGCTTTATTGAGAGTCAAGTAAAGAAAATCTCAGACTTGAGAAGAATGTGCGTAGAGAAGGTTTGAATTTCTCTGTTTGTATGAGATCTGTGTAGATCTTTTCTCTCCATATGAAAAGCAATAATCGTTTATTTGTTTTGGTCATAGGGGGTAAACCCGTGGATTGAAGTGGATGGTGGAGTTGGTCCCAGCAATGCTTATAAGGTATCTTATATTCTTCCCATTTTTTAATTTATGTTGTGTAAATAATAGCACAGCCAAAAACGATTTGCTATTTCTTTTTGGTATTAACATAGGAGCTGCATAACTCATGAAGTGATCGTGATTGTATATTATGATCGTTTTCTGTTCTGGCAGGTGATTGATGCTGGAGCAAATGCTCTTGTAGCCGGATCAGCTGTCTTTGGAGCTAAAGATTATGCAGAAGGTAAAGGCCCTCCACCAGTTTTCTAACCCCCTGGAGTAATCATATTTCTTATATATGTTAATTCACCTTACTAATTTTTGTGGCTTGTGTTTTCCACCTACCAGCTATAAGAGGAATCAAAACCAGCAAAAAGCCAGAAGCAGTTGCCGTGTGATAGCTGATCATCGAATTTGATTCTATCCTGTGTATGTCACCTTCCCACATCCTCAATTTTTTTCAAATGTAAAAATTAAATATCTGTTGGCACCTTCTTGTACCATCATAATATCATGATACAACTATTTGTGAATAATTCTTTAGAGTTTTCCTTAACACGGTACCTTTATCAATCAGTTTAAACCTTGGCCTTGCTGAGACATATTTGAGCTTCTGTTGTAAGTTTAGCATATTATTCTTTCTGTTGTGTGTTTTTACCTACAGAATTCTAGTTTTGTTCTAACAGGCTTCAAACTTTTTTATCTTAGGTATTTTTGTCTTTATATCTGCAGATTGTAAGAGCCACCATATTTCCTCCTTCATGTTGTAGATGTACGCAACACTTTATCAGTTCTCTTTATTGTTCAAAGATGGAACAATAAGAATATATATATATATATATATATATATATTTAAAAAAAAAACAGTAAAAAGCAAATTCAGGGTAAAGAAAGCCTCTTTGCAGGCATCGTTTCATGTATGGAGACTACTTTTACAGGGATCCAGATTATCAAACATGTATCAGCATTCTGTCAAAAGTCAATACTTTCAGTAACTTGAGTTTTTTTTTATTTGTACATGCGTGTACGGTGGTAGCTGACCCATCCCATCCAGCAGCAAGGAACCAGAAAAGCAATATATATATATATATATGTGTGTGTGTGTGTGTGTGTGTGTGTGTATGTATATGTGTATAATACTGGGAATACAGTGTGTTTCAAAAACTTCACATGTCCACCATTAACTTAAATTTATCTAGAAAAGTTAAAATAAAGATAAAAAATTTCACCCAATATTTATATTTAATAAAATAATTTATCTTGTCTTTATCTTTATATTCTAATAAAATGGTCGATCATTTAAAAGTAGAGTGTAAAGCACTAATCATCCAACCGTTACATGGTTTGTCTTTTCAGAGATGATGGTTTAAAAGCATGTCCAGATGTAATGGGATAAACAATAAGAAGAGGAGGGAGAACCTCCTTTCACACCTCTTTCATACTTGAAGTTTTCAGGGAGAATTTCTTACCACTCTGTTGCCTTGCTTACTTTGATGTACAAATTATCACAGATATAATTTAACTGATTCATATTATTTTATAGTTTTAAACAAAAAAGAACATTACACATACATTAAACTTTAGTTAAAAACCTGTTAAAATTAGATTCAAAATTATAAACAAATTTCTACATGGAAATATAATGTAAGAATAGTTTTGAAATTAATTAGGTAGGCCAGGACGAGATTCACCCACTCAGGCAAAACAGGAGCAGGAGGAGCTAATTTTTTAAACCCTTCCAGTAAAATGAGAGCAGCTCCCGCGTACAAATCCTCTTTTTTACCATTAGCAAGAACTTGTTTCAGTTGCATGTCATAAAAAATTCTAACTCCTTCAAGATCTTTGGAATTCATTTCTCTTTCAAGAGTGGCTTGTTTTGGGGTTTTGAAGAGAGGACATTAATAATAAGATCCAAAACTGAAATAGCTATTAGATTTTCAGATAATTCCAGCAAAATTTTCAACTTGTCACTTAGCATCGGCACCCACAAAGAAAATACATCTTTGACTACAAAAAAAAAATATAATGGAACATCTAAGTCTGGCAGTTATGACACAGACGGTACAAATCCAAACACCATATCGCCTTTTCTTACAGTAAATATGGTAAATTTCTATTTGATAACAATGACAGTCGGAATTTACACAAAAGAACATTATATATTACAGAAGAACTATATCGCACATGCATCAACTATCTAAGGCTGGTGGCCTTTAATATACACGAACTAGAACCTCCCAACACCTACACATCTTGTCTGCACATAGGACATGAACCATGTCTAATGAGCCACTTGTCCACACAAACCAAGTGAAATGTGTGGTCGCACCTAGGCAAGCTTCGTGCGATTTCCCCTGCCTCAATATCCTGCAATGAAATTTACCATTGGCAAAATTCTTACAATGCAAAACATGGCAAAACTCTTACAATGCAAAACATGAGATCATAGCCCAACAGCTTTTGGCTAAGATGGGATTCCTCCCAACTGGCTGATGTTTCTAATTGGGGTTCCATTCCTCATTACATATGGGGAAGGTCCTTATGCCAAAATAAAAAAAAATAAAAAAAAAGTAATAACAAGAGATAACAAGTGTCGAATTTCAACTTAAAACATGGATCTAAATAAATCAAGACAAACCTGCAAACAAATCGTGCAGCAGATGCTATGTGTTGCTTTACTTTCATCCAACATAATGTAACATGGTAATTTCTTCAATGCATTGCCGGACAGCCCCCTAGCTGCCACTTCTTCATAGATATCATGAATATCATCATTGCTCATATCTGCAATTCTCATCTGTTCATTACAAACACAAACTGGTTACCAATTTAAATATACAAAATAGACCAATTGTAAAAAGAACAACAACTAATCAATAGAAAAGCAAAGAACCCTCGGGGATGATTCATCTTTGATCAGAAGGAACTACATGATTTTCTGCCCCTTTTTCTGCAATACAATTTATAGAGGCATTCATCCTAAATGGTAATTATAAAAGATCTCTTCAAAATTAAGGTTCTCCATCATCTCCAATAGTATAAGGTCGAATATGTACGCAACTGTTTTGTTCAGCAAATGAATATCAGATGTCAAACTTCTCTTTCATACAACTTGATCAGATTCCAAATTCCATTATCAAAGTGTTGTTTGGAGTTCTTTTGCCTGTTCTCTGTAGAGCTTGTGCTCGTACAATATATATGTATATAGAAAATGACGATCACATACCACTACTACTTTACGACTTCTAAGCTCATGCCCAGATCAGACTTATACACAGACCAAACTAAGCAGGTTAGGAAAAGAAAAATAAAGGTAAGAAGGAAAAGGATTTGATTTAAGCCAATCATCTGCTAACTGATTATAAAGATAATTCTAAGTAATTCTATCTGTATTAATATTGCAAAAGCTTATATTTGAGGTTTTCTGCACAAAGAACCAAATAAGCAACTTGGAAGAACTAAGGTTCCACAATTTTTATTTGCAACTCTTGGTGCCTGTGATTATCAAATCTCAATAATAAATTCTAAGACATTGAAATGATTCAAAAAAGAAAAATGAAGAAAAAATAGCAGAAAGAATTCTTTGTTTCTCCAAATAGGGAGAATTCCTGCCTTCGAACCCAAAAAAGGGTAGGATATTGGCAGGGAAAACTTACTCTCCCCGAATGCAGCTCATTATAACATGACAAGCGGCGTTAAAAAAAGAACTCATTATCAATGATTACCACCTTGAGAATGCTAAAAGTTAATGAGAACAAATTTCAATTGATTCCCAAAACAGTCATTCAGATTCTCAACAACCTTATCAACAAAGAAACAAATATAAATAAACAACAACCTGCCAGTGATAGGCAGTTAACATTCCTGGTGTTAACTGTTCTTCTACAAGCCTCCCACGAAGCAGCTCCTCTATGAAATCTGCCTGGATCCAAAATAGATATATAGACAATTAGTCTATTGCAGAAGAAATAACAGAAGACTTCTCTGAATAAACTTATAAGAAATCTAAAATAATATTGAACAAATATTAGTTTTTTAGAACTACTGTGTAAGATTTTTTCAGTCAAATGAAGTAGTACAAAATTAAATGGATAATTCACATAACTGAACCGAAAGGCCAGCCAATTCTAAACCCAATCAGTTGTGATTTTTAGCAAGAAATGATAATGAGAAGTGACAACACTCAATTTTCTACTTTCAACGTGGTTAATATTGAGTTCAAGCCACTATGAATGAGGACATAAATGTTGGCAAGATATAAAATAGGATGTACATAAAATCAAAAAATAAAAGAAACAAAAGAACCTAGATTAGTTAGACTAACCATAGATGATGAACCCCGGGAGCCCGATTGCTCCAACAACCAATACGCACGAGATGCCTCCAACACCTCTACAGAGAGTACAGCGCCAGCAATGGCACCAAGTCCAGCTCCACGAAGGATTCCATAGTCAGAAGCCCTACCGGCTACAGCCCCAGTTACAGCTCCTGTAAAAGCTCCAGCTGCACGAGACCAACAAAATATGAAAAAGGAACAAAATAGTGATATACAAATGGTGCTACAGACTTAGGGTTACACATTTGCTGCTATTTACCAAGATTCTAAATGCAAAACACCTAAAATACATAAGATTACTCAATCTCCTTGACCAATGTTAAGGGACCTAATAATGTTAGAAGATGGCAAGCACATTCAAGCTCATGTCTGAAACCCAATTTCCAAAATAACACGAGGTTCATTTCATTGTTTATATTGATTTGAAGACGCTATATATTTTTCTACCAATCATGTTAGTTTAGTTGATCAGTTTAATAGTTTGTTGGACTAACTCTATGTTGGTTCGTCAGTTGTTTTATATTAGTTAGATAGTTGTTAATCAGTTTGTAAAACACAACAACTTAATACATGTATAAATAGGACATACAAGTACTTCAATCTGTATCAAAAACAAAAACCAATCTTTGTGAATAAAGAGAAAAGAAAGTTCATTCCTTTTCTTCTCTTTAATGAGTTCTACCGTGAACTCATTCTCTTCCTTTTCTTCTCCTCTGTAAGAAGTTTTACAGCAAACTTGTTTCTATTCATGGTATCAAAGCAGTACCAGTGACAGAAGGCAATGAATCAAGCGCAAAACAATACTGCTTCGATTGAAGACTTCAGCGATGAATCAGTCAAATGAGAACTCCGGAATTTCATTGTCTCAATCCCCTTTAATGGCATGAACTATTGGACATGGAGCAAATCAGTCAAAATAGTGCATACACACCTCCTGTCCTTATTCCCCACAACAAAACAGAAGAGTTGAACGAAAACATAGGCAACTATTGCAAGTAGCTCGAGTTGTACTGTTCCAAGCCTCACTACCACTGACCTTTTGGGGAGAAGCAATACTGCATGCCACATACAGTTAAACAGACCATCTTCTGCAATCCTAAAATGGAAGAGTCCATATGAAATACTGCATCAAAAACCGCCAGACTACAACAGGCTTAAAGTATTTGGATGCCTATGTTATTCAACGAATACTCAACCTCACAAGCACAAGTTTGCTCCAAGAGCTTTTAAATGTGTTTTTGTGGGATTTGTTGCAGGAAAGAAAAGATACAAGCTTTTTGATATTGATAACAACTGATGGATAGTGTCCAGAGATGTAATCTTCTATGAAAATCAGTTCTCATACACGACTCAAGGGCAAACAAAAGCATCAGTAGTTGTTCCTCAAATCCAGCTACTGAATCAAGCACACATCAATATACAGGTGCACAAACAGATGACATCATCAACACTGATTTACCCGATACAAGTGCATCGACTGAAGCCCAAGTTTTAGATTCTGATATGCTGCAATCAGAACGCATCCACCATCCTAATCTTGATGCTGAAATAGAAAATGGTGAGTCTCACTCTCAAAAGGCATGTGCAAGAGTGAAAAGAAGACCCAACTGGTTACAAGCTTACATAACCACTATTAATTGTGCAACAACAACAAAAAAAGTTCTAACTTCACCATACATACCCAAGACCTTTCCCTTTATCTCTAATTCCATTTTTTTATGCTGATCACTCTAATTTTTTAGCAAATGTTACAATGTTGAAAGAGCCAAAAACTTATAAGGAAGCAAAACAATCCAGTGAGTAGATACAAGCAATGGAAATTGAAATAGCAGCATTGGAAAGGAACCAAACATGGACTTTATCTGTCCTGCCTCATGGAAATTCAGTCATTGGATGCAGATAGCTCTTTAAATTGAAGCTGAAACCTGATGGGACAGTAGAAAAATATAAAGCAAGGTTGGTTGTAAACGGTTATCATCAAGTGGAAGGAGTAGACTATATTGACAGCTTCTCACCAGTAGCAAAAGTGATTACAGTCAGAATCCTAATGGCAGTTGCAGCAGCTAAACAATGGCCACTACACCAACTGGATGTCAACAACAGATTTTTAAACGAGGAAGTGTATGCAATCTCCAGAAGGCTATGACAGAGAAAAAAAGGGAGAAGTATGCAAGCTTCAAAGATCTCTTTATGGCTTAAAGCAAGCATTCAGACAATGGAACTCTGAATTATCACACTTTCGAATCCAATACAACTTTCAACAATCAAGTCATGATCATTGCCTCTTCTCTTATCAAAAAGATCAACACTCTATTGCTCTACTAGCCTATGTTGATGATTTACTCGTCACTGGAATTTCAGAAACAGATATTACTAAGCTGAAGATAGCATTAGATACAAAATTCACCATTAAAGACTTATGAGCTGCAAAATACTTTATGGGTCTGTATGTTAATCAAAGAAAATATGTTTTGGATATACTTAAAGACGTCGGCCTTCTGGGTGCAAAGCCAAAATCTATCACATTCCAAGAGGACAGCAATTACATTCAAAGGAATCACCATTACTTGATAACCTCAAAAATACAGAAACATTGTAGGCAGATGGCTATATTTGAGTTTTACTCGCCCAGACCTGACACACACCGTCCAACAGTTGAGTCAACATGTGCAGGCTCCTAGAATGATCCACTTGAAAGCAGCACACCATGTTCTCAAGCACTTAAAGCAAGAACCATCTTTAGGATTATTCTTCCCAGCAGAGAACAGCTTCAACATTACAACTTATTATGATTCAGATTGGGCAACATGTCCAGAAACCAGAAAATCCCTCACTGAATACTGCATATTCTTAGGATCATCACTCACATCATGGAAAACAAAAAAAGCAATTCACTGTCAGTCGAAGCTCAGCAGAAGCAGAGTATAGACCCATGGCAACGACAGTTTGTGAGCTACAATGGATTTTGTATACTCTCTAAGATTTGAAGATATCTTATTCTCTACCTATAGATCTCGAAAGTGATAACAAAGGAACAATGCATATAACTGTCAATCCAGTATTTCATGAAAGAACAAAGTACTTGAATATAGATTGCCACGTGGTTCGAACTAAGATAAAAGAGGGTATCATCGCAACAACATTTTTTTTGAAAGAAAAGTACATAAATGTATTGATGATAAGTGCCAAGGGGGCACCACCCATGTACAATTTTACATATCGATGAGTATATTTATAATAGAAGCAAAATCAATATTACTATCAATATCATGCTCAAGTATCGTAGAGCCAAAATAGTAAAACCAATTGTCTTTTAAAGTGTTGAACTCTAATTCTTTTCCGTCAAAAGCACTTTTGTTTATTTCCTTCCAAATAACCTAAAATACTGTGAGGGGGATGAGTTTGAAGAGCATGTATAGAAATGCTAAGACCTTCCCAAGCAAGAGGCTCCCCAAATATTATGTTTGCCATGACCCAAGAAAGCCCCAGCAGGCCAAGAATCATCACCCAGAGTTTATGAGAGAAAGGACACCAAAGTAGAAGATGATTACACGATTCTGGACCCATTTTACAGAGATAGCACCTGTTTGCTATAGGAATTCCTCTTCTCATAAGATTATCCAGGGTAAGAATTTTTTCTTTAGCAGCTTCCCAAGAGATTTTGGGTGGGGCACCAGATCTCCAAATGATTTTAGCTGGAAATTTCAATTGATTTCTGTTGATCCGGCCATCCAGGTAGTCATAGAATGAGCTGACAGTGAATTTGCCACGGGTTTTGTTTTCCAGCACAACTTGTCTCCATGATTTTAATCTGA